GTCGTGCGAGAGAGCGGCTGTGTGCTGCGCGTCGCTTCTCGTGGCCGTCACGGCCGCCATCGTCTTGTCACTGTCGTCCACATTCGTCGTCCATCATTGTCGATCGTCATCAGCAGCAGCAGCGTGGGCGGTGGGGTACTAATAATAACAATGATTAAAAATAGAAATAATAATATCCTTGATTTACTCAGGGGGGGGGGGGGGGTGACTCAGCTTTTCGTCATTGGGAAGTTTGACCAATTCCTTTTTGAACAATGAGAGGTTGGCTTCGTGTGGGAGGAAACCGAAGAATCCCCACCACGCGCGATACGAGGGGGCGACACGGAGAGCGCCACCAAGATAGATTCAAGAGTCCGTCCCTGTATCGCCATCTCCGGCCCATCGCGCAACCCAAGCCTACAATGCCTGGGATTCCCAGGCAGGCTCCTATCAGAGTGGTGACCAGGCTGAACCATGCTTAGCCTGCGGGGCGGGACGAGGATGCGGTGGGGGCGGGACACGCTCGGGCTGGTGATGTGGTCGTGCCGGGGCAGGCTGTGGCTCGTGCGTGGGGCCGCGTGGAGCGTGGGGACGCGGTCCGCCCGGCCCGGTGAGACCAGACCGGGCGGCGCTGGGCCAGGGGCTACCTGACGGAGAGATTCCCTGGGGACTGGGGTTGGTGGATCGTTGTGGGATGGACCGCGTCTGTGCCGTGAGCCTCTGTCTCCTGAGTTCCTGAGTTTATTGTCGCCCTGACCCTCTTGAGTCTCCTGAGTTTCCGTCTCCAGAATTCACGACTCTCCAGTTCCACTGAGGCTCAGATCCCTGAGTCTGTGAAACTCCGATCCCCTGGGTTTCTGAATGTTGCGAGTGAAGTAGCGGAACCGTGTGGTGAAGAGGTCTCTTGGTCTAATCCGACCCCAATCCGACCCTAATGCGACCAAATTCCAACAAAACCAATTGTGAAGGAACGAGCCCGCGCCGACGTCAATGGGTGGGGAGGGCCTTGCGGCGTGCTGGGCTCCCCACGTGGTCCAGGGCACTCCGGGGGACTCCTGTATCTGGTTGTGCGTGCGTCTGTGTGGGTATTGTAGTTGGCACAGTAGGGGAGGTACAGCTGGTGCATTTGCCAGTCATCTCAGTCAGCCAACCCATGGCACCAGGGTCTGTCCCGTAACGTCCTGTCGGCGAGCCTTCGACACTTCACGTGGCCTCAAGGTGCACCTGGCCTGGCAAAGGTGCCGTGGTGACGTCACCGTCAATTCTCACTCTCGGCCAACACTAGTGACAATTATCTTGAACTGGTGCTGGACCTCCCCTAGGTTAGCTCGGTCTCAAATGAGTGCCTGGTGCGCTGTGTAAACAGTAGCACTGGGAAGACAAAGGCGGTCAGGTATAGTGCTGGCCACCCACCCCCTCGTGTGCTGTGCAGGCCTTGATAGGTGCACTTGCCCTAAGAGTCTGTTAAGGCTATAGGGGGAATAATTGTGTTTGTGTGGGTGTGTAGGTGTGTGACCTGCAGTGTGGTGAGTGGGTAGGTAGGTGAGCGTGTGATTGTGACCTGCGGTGTGGTGAGTGGGTAGGTAGGTGAGCGTTGTGGTTGTGAGCTGCGGTGTGGTGAGTGGGTAGGTAGGTGAGCATGTCATTGTGACCTGCGGTATGGTGGTCGGAGAGAGGTTGTCTACAGTCATCATACAGTGTGTTGTGAAGCAGAGGATGTTTTTCAGATTCCCCTTCAGAGGGAAGGGACTGATTGCACAGTGCAAGGAATTATAAAACTTGTCTGCAGGAAGCGAGTGTTCGTGGCTGTTGGGGAGTGTGTGCGGGAGTGTGGGGAGCGGTAGTGTAGCAAACCGGGTTCGATTCCCGCTCACGACGGTTATCTTAACCCGTTCTGGGCCTCCCCTATGTCTAATCGGCCTTAAATGAGTACCTGGTGTGGTGTGTAAACATCACCACTGGAGAGACAAAGGCGGCCGGGCGTGATGTTGTCCACCCACTTCCTCATGCCGGTCTTCATAGGTGCTTGCGAACAGCACTTGCCCTAAAAGTCTGGTAAATGCTATATGGGGGATATTTGTCTTTGTGCCTGCATCAGTGAGGGCATTGTGGGTGCACTACAGACCTGATGACCTGGTTCCAGCCACGGCCAACATCAGTGGCGATTATCTGAACCAGTGCTGAACCTCCCCTAGGTCGACTCAGCCTTCAACAAGTACCTGGTGGAGGCACAGGCCACGCCACCTCCTCGAACCCCCGTGCCGGCCTTAATAGGAGCTCGCTAACAGCAATTGCCCCAACAGTCCATTACAAGCTTAACGTGGGCTCTTTGTGTAAGCGTGCTCATGCGTGCGTGCGTGTGTGCGTGTGTCTCAATTGGATTTGAGCAGCCGGTCAGAGACCCGGAGCTATAAAAATGACAGCAGGGCCTCCACCAGCCAGGCCCTCCCAGCGTGGACAATCGCAGGAAATTGCGATGATGCCATCCCTCCCTGGCTGTTCGTTGCAATAAATAATTCTTGTTGATCCACCACCACCACCACCTTCACGCCGTCACCGAGCGGTTTCACAATCCAAGAAGATCTCCCGTTAGGCCGCGCCTGTTTCTCCACAATTATAAATATTGCGCCTGCGTAGGCGTTGCGCCGCCGTGCAGCTCACCGGTGCGGTTTTTCGAGTCGTGCCGAGCGACTCCCCCCAAGAATTATTCGGGTCATGCAGAAGCTCCCGGCGCGTGGAGGGAAACGTCGGACGGCGCGCCGAGCGACGTCAACGCAGCGTCGGGGAGCCACGCAGCAGCACGTGGGCCGGCGGCAGTCGAGGGCTCCTCTTTGTTTCGGCCCCCTCCAGGCGCCGGCCGCGGCGTCAACGTGCGAGGCTCGGACGCACGCCGAGAGAGAGAGAGGCCCTTCCTGCACACCGGGACGCAATACGGGCCGGGCCCGGGGGGGGTTCTGGTGGTCGGCGCTCCTCCGTCTGCGTAACCCCCCCCCCCCCCCCCTTAGTCAGCAGCGCGAACTTTCCACACTTCAGGTGATAGCCTCGAAGTCCACCTCGCCTGGTGCAAAGGCTGCAGCGACGTCAGCCGAATGGCAGCGATTGTTATTGGCAGTGATTGTTATTGCGAGTGCGTCTGTTTTGTGTCCGTACGTGTGTATGTGGGTGTGTCTTTGTCTTTGTGAGGGATCGAGGAAGGGGTGGATGGGGGGGGGGTAGGGACTGGGGGATGGTGGATCTGGAGTGGGAGGAATGGCAAATCGCGGCCCAGTGGACCAGGCTGCCCAACTGCTGCCCTGGTCAGTCACCTGTGTTCTTGGCTGCCCCCCATGCTTCACCGCCCCACGTGGCTCTCACTCTCTCGCTCGCCGTTTCCCTGGCGATGGCTCGCCCACCTCCCCACACTCCCGACCTCCCCGTTGGGCGGTGCCCAGATCCGCGTCCTGTTTGTGCCGCGTTCCTGGGAAATGCCTTTGTCTCACATCTGGCGCTGTCACGGCCGAGACGAGACATACCTCCCCCCGCCGGCCCGGGCTACCCAAGTGACGCTCGCGCGGCAATTAGCCCAACGCGGGATCGCCGCGGTGACACCGCCGCCCGGGCACCGCACGTGGCACCGGGATAGCGGCTGTGGTTAGGGCTGCAGTTGTAATAATTGCTTGGGGGTTTTAATGATCAGTTGTGGTTAGGTGTGCCATTGTCACGACCGGTTGTGGGTGTGGTGATCGGTTGTGTTTGTGGTGAGCGGTTGTGGTTAGCGCTTGCGTTGTCGCGAGTGGTTGTTTGTGAGCGGTTGTGAGCCTGTGGCTGCCACGAGCCATCCTGTCGCAAGCCCTCGGTATAAACTCCACTCCGCTTCGCGCCCCTCACCTCCCGCCCCCTTGCGCCGGGCGGTGATGTTTGCGAAAAATTCTCCGTGCTCAAAATTCCACAGAGAAGTGCGGCACTCGTAGACCGCTGCTGCTGTGCCTCTCGGATGGAGGGGGTGGGTGGGGGGGTGGGTGGAGGGGGGGGGGCAGGGGGGGCCGTGTCTTCTCATCGAGGAGCTCGGCGAGTGCTCCTGGACGTGACGTGGCGTCCCTGATCGACGTTTTGCGAGAAGAGGCCTGACATGAACCCGGCCCACAGTTTGCTTGTCCTGATGACATAAACTTTACGCGTAAATCAACCTGCCAAGCACCGCACGCGCACCCCACGCGTGTGGTGGTTGGTGATCACGGAAAACCCGCGCCAAGCGAGGCCGGTCGCAAGGACGACCGTTGGACAAAATCGCTCCCCGCTCGGCTATCCAGTCACACGGTGCAATGCGTGGTGTTAGGCTGTCACCGCTCTGGACTTTAAGGCTCCCCACATCATCCCGTGGCCACTGCCACTGCCGGCCACGCTTCGCTCTCCAAACCCCGCGAGCGATCCAAGCGTCGGATCACCATTATTTATTTACTTCGTGATCTCCCGCGCACTGCTGCTGCTCCTCCGCAGGGCACCGCAAACCTGGCCGAGAGCCCCCGGACGAGGAAGTGTCGGAGCGCGATTCTTAGCAAGGATTGGGAGGAAGTGGTGCGCCTCCAATCGAGGGTTCGATTCCCACATACGGCTAACTAAACTAAAACTAAACTATTTATTTTATTTTGCCAGGTAAGGGCCCACTGAGCTATACAGCTCTGTGTCAGAGGCGACCTGGCCACAAATGCTGGCTCAACGAAGTGCCTCATCACGTGAACATTTATAGCAGCCAAATACTCTAATCGCGTGTTGATTCTAAATGTGGAGGGAAAAACCAGAGGACCCGGATAAAAATCTACGCGACCCCGGGGAGAGACACGCAAACTATACAGGGCTCAGGGTCGGGATTGAACCCACGACCTCTTGTATACCAGGCGAGATAGTTAACATATCCCAGCCACGACCCGCACGGATCGGCGGCGGCGCTCGAGAAAGGAATCCCCGCTGCGGGTAATCTGCGATTTTAATTGTCGCTATCATGTGAACTCTCCCCTGCTCCCCCCCCCCGCCCGGCCCCCCAGGCGAGTCCCTGTTCGGTGTGCCGCCCCCAGGCTACGTGTACGACGCGGAGCGGGGCGACGACGGGAGGCCGCCCCCCGAGGGGATGCCCTACATCGACGACTCCCCCTCCTCGTCCCCACACGCCGCCGCGCGCATCCGGGGCGCCCGTGACGCCGCCGCCGCGGCCGCCGCCAGCGCCGCCGCCAGTGCCGCCGCGCTCGACGCCGGCAAGATGGTGGGTCCTGCCGGGCAGCGCACCGCCTCCCCCTCCTCATCCATCCCCTCATCTCCCCCCTCCTCCGCTGGCTTCTTATTCTCATCCTCATCCGAATGCTCCTAATTCTCCTGCTCCTCATTTTCTGCGTGTCACTCCTCCTTACAGTACACCTCGTATCGCACCTCCTCACTGCCCACCTCGTTGCCGTGCTTTGCCGAGCCCCTTCCCGGCGCTCGCGGCCGTGCTGGGGATTGGCAACGATGGGAGTCGAACCTTGCCCCGCCGCCCCTGCGAGAGCCGTGGCCTTCGTTTGCCGCGCGCACGACGCACGCGCGGCGTGTCCATTCGTTCGTCCGTGAGCGGCGATCCTCGCGGCGATCCTCGCGGCGTGCGCCCGCCGTGCGATAGGCGGCGGTGCTGTCGGTGCTGTCGGTGGTGCGCTGACGGTGCCAGGGCCCCGGCCAACCTCAACACATACGCCGCCCGCATAGAGACCTGTAGACTCGCTGAGACGCGTAGACTTACGCAGCGAAGCCTCGACTTGCATGTAGAGGCTGTCTGATTCGCAGCGGACGTCAAATTTCCCGGCGTTATGGTCCCATTTAGAAAAATTGCGAAAATTATCCGAAGAGGAATCGATTGGGATCACACACGCCACAACCATCATCATCGCACTCTACTCCGAAAACATGACAAGAGGAGACCCTCCTGAGAAAGTCACCGAGCCTCGTCAACTCCAGCAGCGCGACCCTCGTGTGGATATCTGGGAGGTGTGTGTCGCCTGTGGCGTGGTTGGCATGGCCCCCTCCGCAAGCACTGAACTGGGTGCCCCCCTCGTCCAATGGAACGGGGCTCGCTTTCCCCTCCCCGTGTCTCCGGCCCCTGGGCCCCGCGCAGTTTCGCCGCCTGCACGCTCGAAAAGGCCGCGGGCAGCCGCTGTGTGCGGCGTGACGGCCCCGCGCCCCGCGCGCTGCCATTTCTCGCTCCCGCTGAAATGATTTCGTTCTGCAGATAAAAACCATTTCGTTCCGCTGCCTGTGCACCTCGGCACGCGTCTCCCTGCGGCTCTTGACCATGAAGCTCGGGGGATGGGGGTGGGTGGGGTGGGGGGGCGGGGGGCGGGGGGGCCGAGCTCTTGTGGAACACTGCCCCCTCTGTCTCGAGCGCTCCGTGTTTTTTTCCGTGGCCGCTGCACAATCGCTCTGTAGTTTTCCCCCGAGTCGGGGGCGGTGGTTGGGTGGGCGGGAGGGAGGGAAGGGAGGGAGAGAGCGGGCGACCCCCCCCCCACCCTCCTCGACTCCCTCCCTTGACGAGGGGACGATGGTGATCTGAGCAGCGCCGGGGGTGTGGGCGGGCGAGTGGAGGTCACGGAGCTCCGTCCCGCCGAGGTGGGGGGGGGGGGGGGGCGGGGGGGGGGGGCTGCTGCCTCCGCTGCTGCTGCCGGTGCGGCGTGGGGTGCCGGGCGGACTTGGGGAGTGGTGGCGGTGGGGTGAGGGGGGCGCTGCGTGGGCAGAGTTGGACGGGCGATGCGGGCGTTGGCGTTGCGGCGCTGCTCCCGACGCCGCCACCGCCGCTGTCGCCGCATGGTTGGTGCCGTGCCGCGCGTGCCACGGCGGTGATGATGGGGGGCGGCGGTGGTGTTGTGCCACAGTGGTGGTTTGGTTATGTGGTTTACATGTGTGAGAGCAGTGATGCCTACATTGTGGTTTAGTTGTGGTCACGGTGGTGCGTGTGTTGTTGTCGTGCCACAGGAGTGGTTGTACCGCCGTGGTGGTTGTGCCGCCGTGGTGGTTGTGCCACCGCGGTGGTGCGTGGCCGGCACGGCCGCGTCCCGCACAGCGGGATGTGGCGACGCTGCGGGAGGGGGAGATTCGCGAGCGCGGGATCCACGCGGAGACGGCGTCGCGCCCCCCCCCCGTTTCACGTTTACCTGCGCCCGTTAATTAATTAACCTGTGGGGTGGGGGAGGGGTGGGGCTCGGGGGAGGGGGACCGCGCTCCGCTGTCGACGGCTCCGCTTGAAGCCGTTGGATATGGTGGTCACGGTGGCGATCGTGGTACTTGTAGTTGTGCAAGTGAGGTTTGTGGTGTTGGTGGTGGTCGTGGTGGTGGTCGTGGTGGTGGTGGTGGTCGTGGTAGTGGTGGTCGTGGTAGTGGTGGTTGGTAGTGGTGGTGGTGGTAGTGGTGGTGGTGGTCGTGGTGGTGGTGGTGGTGGTCGTGGTGGTGGTGGTGGTAGTGGTGGTCGTGGTAGTGGTGGTGGTGGTGGTCGTGGTGGTGGTGATAGTGGTGGTGGTGGTAGCGGTGGTGGTGGTGGTCGTGGTAGTGGTGGTGTTAGTGGTGGTGGTGGTGGTCGTGGTGGTCGTGGTGGTGGTGGTGGTGGTGATGGTCGTGGTGGTGGTCGTGGTGGTGGTGGTGTTAGTGGTGGTGGTGTTAGTGGTGGTGGTGGTGTTAGTGGTGGTGGTAGTGATGGTAGTGCTGGTAGTGGTCGACAGATCTCGCCGCACGCCGTCCCCTGGGACGTCGTCGACAAAGCGGAGGGGAGAGCTCGAGAGCCGCAGCCCCACGGCGGGCGGGGGGCGGGGGGCGGGCTGCGGGCTGCAGCTCGAGCCGAGTGAGCGACGGCACGGCGTGAACCTTCCGTCGCACGCATCCACCACGAGCGCTTGGAGTCGTGGGCCGGAGAGAGGGGAGGGGGAGTGGCTGGGTAGGAGTGGAGAAAAGGGGGGGGGGGAGGGTTGGGCGGTCGCGGGGGGCCGTGGAGGGGGTCCCACGTTGCCCGCGGCGAGAAGTGGCGGAGGGTTCACAGGCGGCAGCGGTGGCTGGCGAGGGTTACGCTCCGCCATCTGCGGTGGGGACCACGTGACCATGTGTGGGTTTCCCTCCACCGCTAGCTCCTGTGCATTGCGACAAGGTCGTGGCACTTTGTCGATGAGTTGGAATCTCACCGCTGTCCTGGTGAGGCCCACGAGGCATCCTGGGAAATAAGCAGCGCCGCGCGGTGAGGCGTCGATGTGTGTCGTGTTCCTTGTGGCGAGTCCGCCGTCACTGTCGCCGCATCCTCGCTCTTTGCGGCTGTCGCCGGGGCGCTGGGGTTGACACCGCTACGCCGACGTCCGGCACGTGCAGCGAAACGCGCGGAGCCGTCAAACGTCGCGATGCGGCAGGACCCTCCTGAAGGAGGGGTCGTGAAACTCGCTCGCCGGTACGTCACGGCGAACGACAGCGCTCGGTGTGGCGCACGGGACTCGTTCAGCTGTCGGCGTTCACCTCGGAACGTTCAGCTGTGAATGTTCATGCGACCCTTCCAAGTGGTGGCAACTCCGAGCTCTGGCGGGCGAGTGAGGGAGCCGTTAAACTCCCTCGGCTCTGTGACTCATGGCAGCAGATTACGGATACCTGATGCACAAACGACGCAATGCCCGATCCGCAGCGGCGACACACGTCGTTGACTGGCCTTGACCACCTGAACGTGACGTCGTAGTTGTCGCTCTGCATCTACGTCGGCCGCAGTACGAAAGAAGAAGTTAGCGGTGGAGGGAAACTGCTCGCTTTACATAAAAGGGGAAACTCCGCGAGCGTTCATTAAACCTAGCGCTCACGGTTGAGGAGGCCTGGGAGCCGACCCGTTGCGTGCGTGCCAGTCGCGGTTCACCCGAGCCTGCGACGTGAGCCTGCCGTGGGAAGGTCGCCCCGTGCGGCTCAAGCGACGGCCGCTTTGTCCACGACGCCGCCGCCACTGCCGCGTTGACACGCGGGCGACTCGACTATTCTCCCTGAAGAAGGGCCGTTGCCCGAAACGTCCCCTATTATATATTTATATTCCTCCTGAGGAGAGTTTAGTCCGAGGGATCCCCTTGCGCCCGCCCCATGGACCAGGCCGGGGCGGCCGCCGCGGTCGCCGCTCGCCTTCCACGGACATGACCGGCTGGCGCCGGCGGCGGTGTGGGCCGGGTGGGGGGCAGCGGTGGTGTGACCGGAGCGAGTCACCCGTGTTGGATGCACGAGCGCCAGTGCCGTCGTTGCCGACCTGACGACGGTGCTGTCGGTTGTGGCGGCGGCGGCCTCCACGTCCGAGCAGTCCTGGATCTGCCGCGGTGGCGCTGCCCGCCCATCGCCAACTTGAGCGAGGGCCCTGCCACCCCCCCACCCCGTCCTCCCCCTACCCTCCCCCCGCCCTCATTAGCCTCCCGTATTGTCCCGTGCTGAATGACAAAAGCCGTTAATTATGCAGAGGAAGGAGATCGTTTGACGTCCGTGCGGGCGGTAGGGGGTGGTTGGGCAGCACCCTGGCGGCGGTCGCGAGCGTCCGCGGGGGCTCGGCAGCTCGGTCCCCGCTGCCGGCGGCTCCCCGGGGGCTGCGCCGCCCGGCTCGAGGAGCCGCGGCGCCGCTGGTCGTTGTCCGCGTACCCCATTCGGCGGCGGTTAGGATGAAAGTGGGCGGTCGCCGTCTGAATGGGCCGTCGAGATGTGGGCACTCGCGGCGTCCGTCCCGACGATCGTCTCGGCAGCGGCCCCAGGGTCGCCCTTGCCAAGAGGGGGAATTTGAATCTCGCCGGAACGGTATCATTCGTAATCGTTTCCAGCACCCTGCGGCAAACCCCCACGCTGTGCGCGTCGTGGGGGTTTGTTTGGCCATACTTCACCGCGCTGGCCCGCGCGGGTTGCTGTGTTTGCCCGTGGGCGGCACTTGGCGCGTACGCGGTCGCGCGCAACGGCCGTGTGGGGAATGCTTTGCAACGCACACGAAGACAAAGACCCCCCATGTAGCCCGGATCGACTGTTGGGGCAAGCGCTATTGGTGAGCACCGATGAATGCTGGCACGGCGCACGAGGGCACACTGTGCCTGGCCACCTTTGTCTCCCCACTGCTGATATATACACACCCCGCTGGGTGCTCGATTTAAAACTGAGTTGAGCTCGGGCAGGCTCAGGATTGGTGCTCAGATCACTCGCCACCGATGTTAGCCGCGGTCGGGGTTTGTTGTGCAGTGCCAACCGCTCTCCACGGACACACGCACA